ATTCAAAATGACCGTTTTCTACAGAAAATGCAGTTTTTTCTATATCGTTTTCATCGATTTCTATCTGATGAAATCCGCTGGCAAGATCCAGGGTGGAAAAGTATTTGCATTTACCCAATTGATCTAAAATATCTGTAACGTTAGGAATAGGGTATTTTTCTTTGACAGTTATTTCGTTAAGTTTTCTGTAATCGACTACGAGGCGCCACTTTTGTTTTCCGCTCGCGTCTGACTTTTTCGGTACAACCCATACTGGTGAAGACCAAGGACTTACCGAAGGTTGAATTATATTTTGGTCTAACATGCTTTTTATCTGTGATTTTACTTCTTGTTTATGTATTTGCGGATACCTATAAGATTTAGTGAAAATTGGTGAATGGTTACCTGTATTTATTTTATGTTTTATGCGGTTCGTGAAAGATAATCTGTCTCCGTCTAGATAAAATACTTCTGGGAATTTGATACATGTTTCAAGAATTTGTTCGTGTTCTTCCTCGTTCAAATGATCTAATCTTAACATTTTTGTCAGCTGTGAAATTCTGTCACTATCTTGTTGATTCTCGTTAACATGAAGAATTTGAAAATTTGTTTCATTTACAGGAGAAATGTATTTTTGGATATCGATATTTAATTCAAAATTTTCGCTTGCTGTGTTGACGCATGATGTTACAAAATTTTTGTTCTTTACTGAAACTAAAGCTGCCGGTATTTTGCAGTTTTCATTCAATTTTATTTCTTCGCAAAATAGTTGTGAATCGGGAATATTTATTTTGAAATTAACGTATTGAATTGATCGTGAATTTATCGAAATTTTGTTTTCCGTCAGTACATTCTCAACTGAATGTTCTTCGGAAACATTCTGTTCTGTGTGTTCTTTTTCGTTAATCTGGGTATTTGTTGAGTTTAATGATATGTTCGCGAAATTAGTTTTTAGTATTCTGTTAGGTATATCGATTACACAGTTATACGTTTGTAGAAAATTCGATCCTAGTATGCCATCAAATTCGCAATCTATGTTAGCAATGTGAAATTTGAAAGGTACTGTTGTTGTATTATGTGGAATTTTCATGAAACTTTGCTCTATCAAAATATCAGTATTTGGAATACCGTGGACTATTAATCGTTCGTTAATTAGTTCTATATCTATAGGTACTACATGGGGTTTACAAATTGAAATTGCAGCTCCTGTATCGATTAGTAATTTGTTGTTGTTTTTATCGAGTATATAGAATAAGTTACATGGGTTTATTCCGAGAGTCGGGATGTCGATGTGGTAGTAGTTGGTATAAATTGTGTCTGGTTGTTGGTTGAACTTTGAGGGTATTGAGTGTACTGAGTGTTCTGCGAATACTGAGTGTTGTGAGCTTTGTGAGGGGCGGTATTCTCTCCTAGAGTCAGGTTGCCCATTTCCTGCCCTAGTTGGTAGTTTAAATGGTTAACTCTTTGTCTATCATTTTGACTGAACTGTCTTCGATTGTCGTTTTGATTATTATTGTGTGCTTGATTGTGATGATATTGATTGTTTGAGGGTTGGAAACCTTGTCTTGGATAAAATTGGTGATTGTTTTGACTTTGTTGTGGATTATGATTCGGAATGAAACGTTGTTCAGTGTGATTGAAGGGTCTGCGTGGATTGTCTGGTGGTTGTCTGAATGATTGTTGCGTTTGTGTCTGAGTTTGATATCGTGAATTGTTTCTTTGTCTAAGTCGACATTGTTCTAGAAGATGTCCTTGTTTTTTGCAATATCGACAATAGTAAAGTGAAAATTCTGGTGTTTGTTCAAGTTTTGGCTTACTGGTGTTTTGGTTTCGTTTAGGATATTCAGATTTTTCTTGGCGATACTGAAGGTAATTGAGTTTTTCTTCCTCAACAATGAAATTTGCGGCTTCATTCAAGTTATTTGGTCTTTGAGCTCTTATTATTGAACCTAACTTTGGGTGTAAACCTACTAATAAAGTTTTCAATGCAATATCGTCGCACATGTTGATTTGCGTTAATTTTTGATTTTGAGTCAATCGTTCATCAAGATTGATAGATGTACGAATTTTTGAACAGTGAGCTTCGAGTCTATGACAAAATGAGTAAGATGATTCGTTTTTCTCTTGAACCAATGTTTGCAAATCATACAATAAGCTTGTTGAATCTCTTGAGTCTCCAAAATGTGAAATTAGCAAAATCTTGATTTCGTCCCAAGTATTCAAATTTCTTGCATTGATTATTTTTGCTGCTCTACCTGTGAGTTTGTTTTTGATGTGAATGAGAATTAAAGGTTGTTGAGCTTGATTACATAACTGAATCACGCTTGTGCAGGCATCAATGAAATTTGTTAATTTTTCTGAACTTCCGTCAAAATCTGGTATCAGACAAGTTAAATCTTTCAAACTGTATTCTGCCATTGTGTTCGAATGGAAGTGTGAATGGTAAAAGGAATTGTGTAGGAATAAATACGTAACAATGCACTGAATATGATAGAAAATATGACTTACGCAATTAGAATAACGTCGGTGATCGTCATCTGGAATTATGGCTGTGGATTGCTACCCAAACTCCGTTGACCTCTTGACGATAAAGTGTAGAACACAAGAAATTATCCAATTTCAGGAAAGGTGCCACTGTACTGGAAACTTCTTCGTCAAATCCTCTTCGACTGCGCCAATTATGAATGATGGTCTAGGGTTGATTTTAATAAAACTATTTATTCAAACCAAGTAAACCAATAAACCATGCATGTGTTGCTCTGGGAGCGTGTTGAGTCTTCGAAGTATGGAATAACAATCTAAATCAAAAGTTCTTGAGAAACATCTAGATAATAATCCTGCAGTTACAATTCTAAGAAAGTATCATATTCTTGCTGATGGCGTCACGTTCTTGATAACTCTAGAAGAGGCGATGCAGGCTATGCAGTTGGATATATGGAAACATCCATATACTGGGTGATGAAATGTTGTAGGCTGGTACAGGATATAACTTGCCTAATAGTTATTTTCCCACTAAGGACAAACACTTTTCCTCTTTCTACTTCTTATTGCAATTTATCTCCAGAAGAAATCCATTGTTTTGTAAAGTATTTTTATACAGGGTGTTTTATAATTGGTTCTCAATATTCGAGGAGGCGGCGATTCTTGGGCCATTCTAAGAAGGAAGTTTCATACGAACGTATGACCTAAAAGTCCTAACTTTTAAGATACAGGGTGGTAAAGTTCTCAAAAATCAATATAGCCTACTACAATGAAAAGTTATAATTCCAAAATACCAAATGCGAATACGAAGTTCATAAATTATGAATTGTATTTCTGAAATTTGATCTGAAAAATGAAATCTATCTCTCTGCATTGTGATATTGTCATATTATATTGTTATAATCATTTAGTGAAGAGCTTTTCATTTTTTAAAGCGAAGACCGTGCATTAGATTGCAAAAATGGTCGTGATCAAATTTGCTTCGAAATGATTGGGAATTTCAGGAATGATTTCAATTTCGAGATTAATCAGGGGCATACCATCAATGTCTGCCTAAATAGGTATGTGAAATTCCATACCAACGCCATTGGTGGCAACCAAAAATAATGTGGTAAACGAACTGATATTGATAAAAAACTATTAATTTTTGAGAACTTCAACACCCTGTATCTCGAAAGTTAGGACGTTTAGGTCATACATTCATATGGAACTTTCTTCTTAGAATACCCAAGAATCGCCTTCTGTTTCTTCAAGTTTTTGAAATGACACCTAAAAGTACACTCACTGGCAAAATTAACCGGCCATCAAAAAATCTGCCCAAATTGTTCAGCCTGTAACTTTTTTTAATCCTTGTCTGATTTTTGTGAAATTTCGATCAAATCGTAGATTTATGTTCCGGAATGTTAGCCTGAATCTCAGTTTTCCTAAAAAGCTGATGACTTGATCATTATACAGGAAAAAACCAAAGTTACTTTTCAATACTTCTCAACACCCTGTGGCGAAATTGTGTGATTGAACATGGCTTCATTATGTGTCGGATTGAAGTGTGATCCCTTCTCAACTACAAATTTTTTGATTCATGTCAATATCTTATTTTTGAAAAAAGATACGAGTGTTTTAAGGAAGTATGGCGTTTTTCAACTTTTTTTACCAATAATCAGAACTTACATGAACTTATTGATTAACAGCTCCAAAGATTGATATCATTTATTCCTACCTCACTTTCTTAGCACTTACCGGAAAATTGATTACAAAGAACAAACAAGAAGCAGACCTGTATAGTCAATACCGAGTATGCTCTCATCGATATTGAATTACAGCATTCAACCGCAGTGGCATCGAATTGTTCAAATTACTCAAATAGCCTTGAAGGCCTAAAATCCTTCTGACACTGGGCTGGGCGAAGGCGAATGAGCCTCTAGAGGTCACCCCTCAGATAGGTAGATAGGTTCTGAATTATTGTTATTGAGAATTGAAAAAGTCTATACTTTCCTGAAACACTTGTATATTCTCTCAAAAAGGAGATATTGACATTATTCAAGAACCGTTGTATGGAGAAGGAAGAGGATCACACATCTATTAGAAAAATGATGAATCAGAACGTTGGAGAATGGTTCTGAATTATTGTAAATGAAAATTTTAAAAATCCATACTCTCTTGAAACACTTGTATCTTCCTTTGAAAAGTATGGTTATCGACGTGAATAAAAAACCATCATATAGAGAAGAGATCACTCTTCAATCAAAAACAAAAATGAAGCTGAGTTAAATCACTCACCTTTCCCACAAGGCCGTTAAGAAGTTAAGGGTGAAAAAGTAACTTATTTTTTTCTCTGTATATTGATCGAGTCATCAGATTTTCTTAGGAACTAATACTCAGGCTAGCATTTGGAAACATAAATCTACGATTTGGTTGAAATTTCACCAAAATCGGACCAGAATTGAAAAAGTTACAGAGCAAACAATTTGGCTAAATTATTTGGTGGCCGGTATTTTTTTCCGGTGAGTGTATATTATAATCTAATGGAAATAGACACTCACCACCTGTCGGTACTTTCTTGTCTGATACTGGACTACCCATTGCAAGCCCTAGAATGACAATCAAAAATATGCCAACTATGGTTAACTTCATTTTATCTCTTCACTCAGTTTACTTCCAGTGTTTTAATTATCAGAATTCTGAGCAATGACCCATCTAGCATTATACGTATGTCTATATATATCGAATATCAAGACACTTCAATTTTTTTCTTTTAGTTGATACCAGGAATTATTTGTTTCGATTAGAACAATATAAAAGTTCGAGTACAGTTTTCCGTCGATGATTGATAAGATTCCTTTATTCATTGCATCTATTTCACCAGCTTAGAGTTGCATTCAAATAATAGAATTCATTATTAAATGTTCCAGAAACAGATAGATACTTATTGATTTTTAAAATAGTATATTATCACAGTATACGTATACTGTGATATTATTATGAAAGTACTAGCCATCTACTAAAAGAATAACACATTTGTCGCAGTCGTTCCGAGCTATACGCGTATCCACAGTACATATTTTTTAGTTAGTTTTTCGATTTTGTTATGCTCACCTACAGCTACTATCAGATACACCTACTTTTTCATTCTCCCAGTTCATTTTGTAGTTTTTTGTGTTACGTATAAAAATTAAAAAATGTAAACCCAATCGGTCCAACCGTATAATAGTTGATGTACCGACAGCAGCGCCACTTACCAGGTCCAATTATATTTTCAAATCATCTAGGAAATCATCGAGATGCCCATGTTGGCGTCAAACAGTGAAATCCGTCATTCTCTGGTATGACTAGCCATTTCATGTATTGCCAGCAAACAGCGTTAAGCGGCGTTCACAACCAAACTTTTTACGTTTTGCTTTTTACGTTTCGTATTCTGATTGGTGAAGCAAAATCTGTAATTGAAATGACGCAAAAAGCTGAAAATATTCAGCTTTTTGCGTTGCAAGAAGCCATCGTCTGTGAAAATAGTAAAAATAGACGAATAATATGAAACATTCTGTAATAATATGGAAGTTATGATATTTTCATGATTTTTTCGTGAATCCACAGAATAGTAGATAGGTATACTGTTCAATTCATTATTTTCTTGTTGAAGATTGATTTTTCTCTTCAAGTATTGAATAAGGATCAATTTTTATCACCGCCAGTTCTATCAATTCAATATTATTAATTATCTGATCAATATTATTGTTATGATTATTTCCTTCATTTCAGTATGAAAAACATATAAAAAAACCAAGGCAACTGAGCCATAAAAAGTCACGATTTTGTTGTTGTTGTGAATGCCATTTGCTCACGTTTAATTTCAGATTCTGCTTCACCAATCAGAATACGAAACGTAAAAAGCAAAACGAAAAAAGTTTGGTTGTGAACCCCGCTTTACTCTCGTACTCTGTTTGCCTAATAGTTTTAGGCATTCCCTGTAATGACGGAAGGAAGGTTCATTTTGGCCGTGTCAGCTTAGGTTGTTTAAAAGCAGTAGTCTCTCCTGTTATCTCAAATAATTTTCTGAAAAATATACTTTCTAGGAAGAAGGTTCAGTCAGGCGGTAAAATAGTCTCCCTTCTTATATGCATAGGCAGAATAGTAGATTGTTTTATTAGGATCAAAAGTGACACTTTGTTTGACAAGCGAATTTTGCATTTGCGAGGCGGAGCGTTTAGCGAAGCCGAGCGAAAGCAAAATTTGCGAGTCGAACAAAGTCACTTTTGATCCGAATGAAACATGCTATTTTTTCTGCAACCGAAACAATTAACTCAAAAAAATTTGTGAAGTAACCACCAATGCCGTGCCATATGTATGCAATGCAACAAATATTGACAAATAATCCGTGTGGTGGGAATATTCCACCTGCATTAACAGCAGGTTAGGTTTTCAAGGATGTTCGAATTGTAGTTTCAATATAAATACAACCACAGAGTGACATATTTGTGTATGGACCAGGTGCTCTAATGGCAAATACCGCGCCAGTGCCAGGTATAGGAACAAGACGTGGAAAATGTTAGGTTAGTGAGCATATCAACAATGATAATAGTGATTATTTATTCCTCTCCATACTACACTGTGTTTGACTTGATAATCAAATAAAGCTAAACAATATCGTTGTTTGAGACAAAAAAACTATTGCTTGCCGTGATTATTCAAAAACAAGTTATCCATCCCGAGAATAACGAATGAAATACAGATCAAGCAAGTATTTGAATCTTGAATCTTGAAGGCTTCCCTGATCAAAACAAAAATACTTAACTGAGATGTTTATAATTCCAATGCTAAACTATAATAAGGTGTATTTATATCTCCAGCATGGGTATGAAATGCCAAATCTGCTGAAATCGGAAACAAATCGGATATGCGTCTCAACCCAAATAACCAACCGTCACAATGTTGTTTATTCTTGATGACGTCCAGTACATCCATTTTAGTTCCTATGAGCAAAAGTTCAACTTTAGCTCCTAGGAACTAAAATTCAACTTTAGCTACTAGGAATTAAATATGTTGCCTAGCAACATACCTATTTTTGTGTCAGTAATAGAAACGTCAATTTAAGAGCTAATCTTGGTATCAAAATGGACGACTTTTGTGTCGGTTGCAGAAAAAGGATATTTTCCTTCCTCAATCCTCCGACAAACAGAGTAACGGCTGAAGTTACGCTAATACGCTGTTTGCCGACTATACGTTGTAGCAGAATGAGACTCTCAGGGATTTGGGCTAGGTGAAATTCGGCTGGAACCCAGCCAACAACGTACCAGTCACGTTTTATCAACTTTATTTGCAATTTAGAAAGTACATCGGCAAGATTACGACCCTGAAATAAATCCACTATTCACATACCAGAATACACCTAACACAGTCATCAGCCCCAAGCCTGAGCAGGTACCGGGTAGCACAGGTCTACGGCCGGGATCACCAGAAAGCTAGGGTGCAAAATTAAATGTACACTATACAGCTACTATAATACTATAGGTACTGCCGCACAAGCAAGCGGAAAGCAGAAACAGAAAGAACAACCGCGTGTGCGCTATCGTAGGTACTCGCAGGTAGGAAACCTGTGTAACGTTTTCATTTGCTAATACAACCTGTATATGTCAACGTTACCTTCGTAGTCCTTTTGTCTTTGAAAGTTATAGAAACAAAAATCAAGTGAGTTCAAACATATTTATTGATTAGTATTATGACACTTCATAAATAGCGCATTTGTCTGGAACACACTGTATATCGCTCTGCCTCATCTTGAGCGACTTCAGGATCCTACAGGATAGTAACCTAAAACAAAGAGAACATAATTATAATGGGAATAATTATGATCATCTAGAAAACATACAATCCTAAACATATTTGTATAAATTGTACCTTATATCAGGTTCTCAAATAACAATATGCTCTCGTGTCGCAACTCAGATGGTTTTGGTAGATTGTTTGGCAAACGGCGTGTCCACCACATGTCGCAACTCAGATGTTGCCCTCCTATGGATCGTAACTTGGCTACTCGCTTGGCTTGATGAGAGGATTTTGATCATTTCACCACCCAACCATATTCATTCCCAAATGAAGAGTCAAGATAGTTTTCGTATACAATTAACATTTATTGATTTAATGGGAAAGTCGTGAATAAATGCTTGCCACATGGCAAAGTAGCAGAGACAAACCATAGTGAATTACCAAACGGAACACAACACAGAAAAACGAATCAGATAGAACATGGAAAACAGTACTTACATCATGACATCTAACATGGGGTTGACCAGCAGGATCAAAGTCGGGAAGACGGTACACTTTTTGGCAGTAACTCGTGAATAAGTAACTCAATTACGGAATAAAGTAAAGTGTTATCGAAATGCATTATAATTAGTAATGAATAATCAATAATAGTGAATGATCAGTAATTGAGAAATGGATGATCAATAATAATCGAAAATCAGTAATGAATTCAGTAATGAATGGCCTATCGATTCGGAATCTATTTATATTTGGAATCGATGCTAACATTGCAATTTTCCGCAATGGCAATGCTCGATACCGGGCTTAGCCCGCGTCGCAAGCTAAGCGGTTTCATGCAAATTTTACCGGAACTAGAGTCTATGCACTCCGCTTTGACCTGATCGAAACACTGTACAAGATGTTTTAATTTGGAAAAGTTAATTTATGAATGAAGATCTAGAAATGAACGAAAGTTATTTCATAGACATTTGTACTTCTTGACACATCTCCCCTGTTTGACGAAGCTGGCCCCACAGCTTCAAGTGTCTATAACTACCTATATACATGATACAAAACAATAATCAAATCGAATAATGAGTCAATCAAATGAGGTACCTAAGTGATCGAATGAAAAAAAATAAAAAACATGAAATTGTGTAAAAATCATACCTACATCAATGATAAATAAAAACATTTCAAAAAAAAAATCGTTAGTTAGAAGAGGAAATGTACAAATGAAAAGAACTTGTGATAACTGTCCATTAGATAAATCTATTTTCTCCGCGTATGTGAGAGTTTCGAAGAGGACCACACTGATTTAATTATTCAGTAACTGGTTGATTGTTAATTTTTCATTTCTTAAAATTGCGTCGCTCTTGAATCAAAATTTCCATACTCATGCAAAGTGCATGACATGCATTGTCAATGATTGCCAATAATTTTCATTGTAATTTATGAATTTATTGATTCTGAATGTACATACACCTCCTACTAGTTACGTTATTTTCATATAACTTGACTACTCGATTCTGATTTGGCTATAGTTAGGCACCTCTTGGAAAATAAATATCTCTCAGTTTTATTTTGAAATAATTGGTACTCTTATTTATTTTTTCTACAACAGATAAGTATACTGAATATGTAAAAGGAAAAAAAAAATGTTAATTTTGAAGAATTAAATTCAATACCTACAGAAATTGTGTTAATCCGAGTTCAGTTGGTTTTAGCATTCCGAACTGAAATACACCAACAGAAATGCCTTATACGGAAAAAATTCCATATAGAAGCAATTCGGTTTTGGCATGCCGAATTGTGAGCAAATTCTAGCTAGTGCCTCGCGAAAAATACTCCTTCTGTGATTTTGTTCATGGCTTATTTTATTATTTTACAGGTTATTCAGATGTTAGTTAACACAAAAGTCATTATTATAATGCGGTTCTTCATTATACAAATTGAAATTTCCTAAATCTTGTTTTCTTTCACAAAATAACTTGCACATTTCAGTTTCATTCAGTTTTTCAAA